CTTCATTTTACAGCTGAGGAAATTAAGGTCTAGCGGGGGATGTGAGCTGTTTATGTAGCACACATCCTTAGGGGCGGATCCAGGGTTCAGACCAAGCACAGTCTCTTTCTGTGTCTCCTAGCTGTCCCCTTAGTGCCCACATTGTTATTAAAAACCGGGAGTGAAGTTTAGACGTGCTCTTAAGCAAACAAGACTTGTGTAATAAGCCTAAAGTCTCGCCCAAACTTAGAACCTGACCCCAAGGCTTTTCTCATAATAATATCTTGTACTTAATAAGGCACATTTTGGCTCTTCTGGGGTAATTGTTCCTACTTTTTATCTTGGGCATCTCATGGAGTTGTTTGGTGCCCTCTGAGACACGCCTCAGGATTTCAAGGCAGTGCACAAACAAGGGAGAAGAATTAACGAATTCATTTTATAAATTAATGTGATGAGATAAGCCATGAACATCAGGACGCTGGCTCTTATTTCCTAATTGGATTTTATAGGTATGTATTTCAGATGTCTTTGCCCAAAGATATAAGGATAATGAGCTAAGCTGCCCTGGAGAATGGTTCCTGTGGTACCATCATCAGTCCTTGAGAAGCTGCAGGCAGACCGAGCCGGGGAGGCAGGCTCACAGTTGTCTGCAGTCACTGAGGTCGTGGGCCCTGTCACGTGGTCACACAGGCAGAACCCAGGAAGGTGGATTCCCCAGTCCCCGTTGAAGTCAGTGGGGCGCATAGTGAGTCTTACATGGAAGATGCTGCTGTAAGCAAAGGGCTTTTTCTGGACTTGTGCTTGAACTTGAGAAAACTTCTTACAGGACTGATGAGACATGTTCTAGTCATGTTCTAGGATAAATCATAAATATTACACATTTTTTTTACTTTTTTCATTTAAAAAATATCTTTTCTTTTTTTTTTACTACATTGTGATGAAAACACCGTAGAAGATAGAAAGGGCAATTTAACTCTTTCAGGCAGTGCTTTTTATTGATAAAAGCTGAAGCATTTGCTATTGACAGGGCTCTAATGATAGCAGAGTAGAAACATTAGAAGGTGGCGTCAGCATTCCTGGTACAGGCCTTATTGTGGGTGGGAGTTTCATTTTTGGTTAAAACTATTCATTCACTTAGAAGTGTTTAGTTTTCTATTCTGTAAAAGTGATGTGGTTTTTTTTTTCTTTTTTCGCTTGAGGAAGATTCGCCCTGAGCTAACATCTTTGACAGTCTTCCTCTATTTTGTATGTGGGATGCCACCACAGCATGGCCACCAATGAGTGGTGTAGGTCCACGTCCAGGAACCAAACCAGGACCACTGAAGCAGAGCGTCTTGAACTTAACCACTCGGCCCTGGGGCTGGCCCCTGACGTGGTTTTTTAACTTACCTAAAGCAGTGTTTTTCTAAACAAGACCCCACCAGAGTAGAGGGGAGGCTGGCCTTCTTTTACATGTGAGGCTCATGGAGAGATGTGTGTTTTTCTTTTTAAAAAAACTTGTTTTTTTTTAAGATTGACACCTGAGCTAACATCTGTTGCCAATCTTATTTTTTCCTTTTCTTTCTCCCGAAAGCACCCCAGTACATAGTTGTATATTCTAGTTGTGGTCCCGCTGGTCGTGCTCTGTGGGATGCTGCCTCAGCATGGCCTGACGAGCGATGCCATGTCCACACCCAGGATCCGAACCAGCAAAACCCTGGGCCCACATAGCGGAGTGCGTGAACTTAACCACTTGGCTGTGGGGCCGGCTCCTGTGGTTTTTTATTAAATGGCATAAATGGGTTGTTAATTCACACAGAAGCTGGAGCGCAGACCTCAGGACTGTAGGAGAACCTGCCTCCAGGCCGCCTTTAACCATCCCTGCCTTCCAGTCTGTGCCAGCTCACAGCATCATTTTTAGTTGGTTGCAGACTCAGAACTCGAGTCTTGATGATGGCCCCTTCCCTTCGCTCCTCCTCCTGTCCTGCCAGCCATGGCAGCCTTTCCATCTCGCCGCCTCGGTTTCCTTTCCTTTCCATTGCCCTCGGTCCTTGGTTCGCCCTTACTTCCTTACTCTCATCCCTGACTTCTCTCGTTTCCTGATGTGTCCTAGTTTCTCCTTTCGGTTCCTCCCACATTGCTGGGGCATCTCTTGTCAGCAACTCTCAGGACAGTGGACGTGGAGCCTCACTTGCAGCTCAGCCCTCTGGGCTCCCAGCCTTATCTTCTTCAGCTCAGGACTTACCTTCTAGTGCTACCCCCTTTCCCACCGCCACTCTGACACCCCCGCCCCCACCTACAGTGACCACATGCTTTCCTCCACTGACCCAAACGTGGCACTTCTAAGCCCCAGGTCGAATATTGGCCCTAGGAAGCAGTCTCTGCTGTCACAGTCCCTTGGGCAGGCAGAATTGCTCTTCATTATCTCTTCTTCCCTCCTTCCTTCCTTTTTCTCTTTCAACCGAGGTACAAAGAATATTCAGTGAGATGCATAACATGCACAGCTCTTGGCAGGCCAGCTCCAGTGCCTTCTGGGTCCATGGGCTTCCCCCAGGAGGAACCAAGCCTCAGCCAGGCCCAGCTAAGGTTTCCAGACCCTGGAAGATTCTGAGTTGGAGGCGCAGCTCGCAGCGGCTGTGCAGAGATGGTGGGGTTGGCAGCTCTCACCTGTTAAAACCAGATAGTGTGGGTGGCAGGTGGCAGGAATGAGCAGCGTGGGGGTGCCAGGGAAGTGTATAGTTCAATAGATTTGTACATAGGTATACATCCATTTACCACCACCCAGAAAAAGATTTAGAACATTCCCATGCCCTCAGAAGGTTCTTTCAAGACCCTTGCCATGCATCACCGTTTCCGTCAGGGGCAGCCACCATCCTGTCTCCAATCACCGTCAGTTAACTTTGTCCTTCAGTTTTGATTCCTTTGACACTTTGGGGTCTGAGTAGCATAATCCCGTGCTGACTTAGGGAGGGAACTCACATGCATTTCGACCTTTTGGCATCCCTCTTGATATGTTCTCATAAAACCTCACAACGGGCCTGTGGAGTAGATATTGCTAGCTCCATTTTCTAGGTAAGGGGATTAAGCCTCACAGAGGTTAAGAGAATTACCCCAGAACTGTTACTAGTAGAGGTAAGAATAAACTTGCACCCTGTCTAGGATGGCGCCATCCTAGCTAGAAAAGCCCATGGTGTTCCCCATCTGCAGGGCCTCCCATGTTCTCCGGGTGGTTTTGCTTTCTGGTCATTTCATGGAGCCTTACACCATCTTGTAAGCCCCTCGCTGGCAGGGGTTGTGCCTTGCTGCTTTGGTAACCCCATGGTACCCAGCAGCTCGGTAGCAGGATGTTTACAGGAGGTGGTCTGTGGATGAGGGCTTGCTGACTGCCCAGCTCCGTGGGCTGTGCAGAAGGCGCGAGGCTTTGCGTGGTTGGGAGGAAACAGTGCCCCTGGGCAGCCAGCAGACAGATGTTCCAGGACTTGTCCCTGCCCCTGCTTCAGGCTGGAAGGAAGAGTGCCCCACTGAGTGGATACAGTGCCCGCAAGACGTGTCAGGAGTCAGTACTGAGCAGCACAGGGTTTCTGCAGTGCCTCTCGCTGCCTGTCTCTCAGCAGGAATTCGGTTCTGAATGTGAGGCCTGGACCCACTCCCTGCTCTTGGGTGACCTGACAGTTAAAGCAGGCTAAAGTAATGCCGCCGCCCTGAGCACGTGGCTATTCTAATCTGAGAGTGCCTGTCTGCTATTGTCCCCAAGGACATGGTGACACCCTTGCCTCTCCTGTATGCTGGAGGCCCTCCCGGGGCAGGGTCTCAGCAAGAGGGAAGCAGTCAATGGGTCTAAAAGGGCTAAATTCCAGGGTCAGCCACCTGGTGCACACAACTGCAGAAACAAGGCAGAACTACAGTGGTCCATCACTCAGAAGGCAGGACAGTTCCTGGCTGTCTGTACTTGTGACCCATTTTGCAGCAGTGGGGATTACACCCAGAAGCTCATGGATGCTCAGCCTCTGGCGTTTGTTTCCAGTTCAGAGAGAGGCCTCCTTAAGGAGGGATCACTCTCCTCCCTCATAGTTGATCCACTCAGATGTGTGTAAGTGGCGCACATCCATAGCCCCCTCCGCTGTAAAAGGACCCTCTAGTGTTCAAGAGATAGGACTGAAAGCCTTGGGGGTCCCTGGCTCGGGTCGCCCAGCTCTACTTGGTGAGAAATGACATTGCCCGGTGAGTGACTGGCCAGCCTTGTTGTCTGAAACAAGATCTTTCTCTGTGGTACATCTGGAACTTGGCCTTCTCAAGGGTCCCAAAATAGCTAGGCTGCTGAAGGGAGAACTTCATGAGAGGACATAAGAGGGACCCCAGCCGCCTGGCCAAGCAGGCTTTGTTGGCATCGTAAGACCAGCGCAATTAATCCCCGGGTTTTTGTCCTCATCCTGTGCTGCTTCTGTATTCCCTTTGTATCTCCCTTTCTTGCCGCTTGTTCTGAAAGTCTTTCTGAGGAGGCAGCCTTCCCCCGCCGCCCTTTCTCTGCAAAGATTTCCAAGCTGTGGCTTGTGTTTGGGTCCAGCACAACTCTGTATTGTTAGGAAACGTGAGGACCTTTTAGGAAGCAGAGAAGCTGGCGATAATCTAGCGAGTTGGAGTTGAATCCTCCTCACACCTTCTGATCTGGGTCTCTGAAGGTTTGGGAGACAGGCACTGGCTCTCCTACGTACACTGCTGCCCGGTTGTCACCCAGAAAAGAAACCTGTCGTACCACTTTGGGAAATTGGGACCTCTCTTGTGCTCAACAGATACCTCAGCTCACCTGCTTTTTCTTGATGCCCCTAATTCTTAAACTGCTGGCCAGACAGCTGCCTCAGTAGGGGAGGAGGTGACTGACAGAAGAGGGGGCGCAGCCATGCTCCCTGTGCTCAGCCGTCCTGTCTGACACTGTGGGGTGTCACCCTCGAAGAGGGGAGCACCCAGCACCATCCTTTTTCCTTTTCAGGAGCCTTTCATTCCTGGTTTCTAACCAGTCTGTGTTTCTTCTCTTTTTCTTTTAGGAACCGCCATCCTCGGCAAATGGCCCTTCCCGGGAGGGCACCAGGCTGCTGCCCACTAGGGAGGGCCATGCTGTGTACCCCCGCCTCCGACCAGGCTACATTCCCATTCCAGTCCTCCACGATGGCGCCGAGAGCCGGCAGCCACACCCTTTCTCTGCCTTTCCCCAGCCTGGGACGCAGCGATTCCGAACCGAGGCGGCCACGGCGGCTCCTCAGAGGTCCCAGTCACCTCTGCGGGGTGTGGCGGAAGCCACCCAGCCAGATAAACAGAGTGGACAGGCGGGGACAGCAGCTGAGGTGGCGCAGCCCCCAGCCTCCCACAGACCTGAGGTAAGAAGAGGCCCGGCATGCCGGCCTGTGGGGCACGGCCTGGGAGTTCAGACTGCTGCCCGTGGCCTGGGCCGGGTACCTGATCAGATGCAGGGCATGCGGGCCTGGCCTGCAGCATCAGCGGTCACCCAGCAAAGACAGCCCCACATTGTTGCCCTGTGTTTCACAGGTGTTTTTTCCAGCTGGGCAGGGATCATGGCTGATTTTTGTAGTTAAGGAATTGGAGCTCATAAGGGTAAACAGCTTGGTCCAAATACATAAAGGCGGAAGTGGCGTTGCTGGGGCTAGAAGCCCGGCCTTCTGGCTCCTCATTTGATGCTCCTCACTCACTGGGCGCTCTATTTCAGAAACACAGAGGTACCCTGTTACTTTGTTCAGTTCAGTATTTACTGATAAGTGTTAACTGCCTGGAGCTCTCCTGATGTGAAAATGAGACAGCGTACCTGCCCTCCCAGGGTCCCACAATTTAAAAGGAAATCCAAAATAAGGAGTCAGAAAGGCAGCGGGTTTATGATACGCTTAAAAACTTGAGTGTGCGCATGTCTGAAGAACAGTTCTTCGTCCGGTTCTTAGCTCGGATTTGAGGGCAGTGGACCCAGCAGGGGCCTGAGCACTAAGCCCTCTTGTGTTTCCCATCTGCACCCTGTCCTGATGTGCCCACTGGCACTGTTCTAGAGCACAGATTCTAGCTCCTCGTCTGCACAGGAGCGGGGATAGCCTCCCTTGGCTCTATTCTGGATCTGTTTGGCTTCACTGCCTGCTTGGGGTGACAAATCACTCTTAACGTGGGACCCCTTTCTTGGAGAAGCAGTACTTCTATTTGTAATGTTTTTGTTGTAAATGTCAAAAATGACACATCAATCAGAAATACCAACAAGTTTGAGCTAGCAGGATCCTTAGAAGCAGCTGGGGAAATGCCTTCCTAGTTTTCTAGGTGAATAGAGGGTGACCCAGCAGGGAAAGGGGCCTGCCTGCCTTGGGCCACACAGGGGATGCAGTTCCCAATGCTCAGCTGAGTTCTCTGTAGATTAGCAGGGAAAGGGTTGAGGAAGGAGGGAGTGGAGTGATGAATGCTAGCAAATGGGGATGTATTGAGCACCTCCTGTGTTTGGCGCTTGTGCTAAGGCACATATACAGATTATGTTACTGAATCTCCAAGCCAGCCCAGTGAGGGAGGGGGCACGCTTTTCCATATTTTAGATGAGGCTCAGAAAGCTGTGGGGCATTTAAGAATTTGAACCCAGGCCTCTTGTCTCCGAGCTCCCAGTCTTGAAAACGGAAAGGCTCACAGCTGGGAGGTCCTGTTAAACCTGTTGCACTGAGCAGGCGCACAGTGGAGGCGAGTCGGAGGGCCGGGTTGAAGGTTGTCTCAGGGCCAGGTGTCTACCCTTGTGTCTTGCAGCGATCCCAGTCTCCGGCTGCCTCGGACTGCTCGTCCTCATCCTCCTCGGCCAGTCTGCCGTCCTCCTCCGCGCGGGGCAGCCTGGGCAGCCACCAGCTCCCCCGGGGCTACATCCCCATCCCCGTGATCCACGAGCAGAACGCCACCCGGCCGGCAGCCCAGCTCCCCTCCCACCAAGCCCAGAAGATCCACTACCCGGCTCAGCAGGGTGAATACCAGACCCACCAGCCCGTCTACCACAAGATCCAGGCGGATGACTGGGAGTCCCGGCCCCCGCAAGTAGCATCCCCATTCCGGGTGCCTGTCCGAGGTGCATCCAGCCGGGAGGGCTCTCCAGCCAGAAGCAGCACACCAGTGCACTCTCCCTCGCCCCTCCGTGTGCACACCGTGGTCGACAGGCCTCAGGTACGGGAGCTGGTGTCAGCACACTGGCCACAGAAGCCTCTCTCCAGGGGCTGAGGAGCTCCACGCAGGTGCCCTGATTCTCCCCTCAGCCCCACCTAGTTTACACACCTTATCTGGGGGAAAGTGAGATCCTGGAAATGGCAGGTTGTCAGCAGAAATGCAGGACGAGGGCTGTGAACCTGTAGTACTTTCTACAGCTTTTGCTCATTGTTCATTGCAGCTGCCTTAGAGGCAGAGTGCCAGCCACCCCGATGGGAAATGGCTGGGCAGAACCTGGGGGTCTGGTGTCTTAGTGCCCACCACACCCTCTGAGGACCCTTCAGACCCCCTCACAGCCCAGTCACGCCTCCTCCAGGCAGCTTGTCGCCTTCCTCACTGGTGGCCCTTCTCACCCTGCAAGCCTATTCCCACCGCTGAGCCTTTGCTCATGCCAAACCCCTCCCTGAAATGTCTCTACAACCCAAGTTCTCCCCATCCTCCAAGGGACACGCTGGTCTTGCCTCTTCCGTGAAGCCCGCTCATCCTTCTCACGGCATCTCGGACTGTGAGTCCCTTACAGTTCAGCATGTGATGATTTTGTGCATTTCAAAAGTGTTCATATTCTCACTTCAGCTTGGCTCTGAGCTTGGGGACAGGGACTGTGTCTTACACTTTTCTTCTCCTTTGCGGTAGAGGACCAGATTGCCTGGCTGATGAGCCAGCCGGCTGAGTGGATGGGAAACCTTCCGGCCTGGTGAAAGTTACAGGCACGGGTCTGGTCCACTCATCCTTCATTGGAGACACGTGGGGGTCTGGTTCCTGGAGGAGGAGGTCATCTAGTTTTATCAGCTTGTACCTTAGCAGTAGAACATTCTGCAACCCTGAGCCCCCTCTGGCTGTGACTTGAGCAGCTGAGTTAATTCTCTGCCACAGTTTTAATTTTTTAAAATTTTTTAATTTTAATTTTTTTTTTGAGGAAGATTAGCCCTGAGCTAACTACTGCCAATCCTCCTCTTTTTGCTGAGGAAGACTGGCCCTGAGCTAAAATCCATGCCCATCTTCCTCTACTTCATACGTGGGATGCCTACCACAGCATGGCTTTTGCCAAGCGGTGCCATGTCCACATTCAGGATCCGAACCAGCGAACCCCAGGCCACCAAGAAGCGGAACATGCAAACTTAACCGCTGCGCCACTGGGCCGGCTCCTCCGCCATAGTTTTTAGAAGAAAGTCCTTCTGTAAACAAATACAGGGTATCTTTTTACTACAAATAGTGACACTGTCCTGGGCCCTCTAAGAGATCACTCTCCTTTTACTCTTATTTTTTTAGCTTTTTTATTTGGAAATAACTTGCACCTTACAGGAGAGTTATACGAATCGTATAAAGAAATCCAGTATGCTCTTCACCCATATTCACTGTTTATTAATATTTTCCTCCATTTGCTTTGTCATTTCTTCTCTCTCTATATATCACCTGTATATTTTAATTGAGATTTAGTTGTAAATATCATGCCCCTTTACCCATAAATACTTCGAGTATTTTCATAAGAAAAAGGCATTCTTGTTCACAATCACTGTGGAATTATCAGAATCAGAAAATTTAACAGTCTACAATGTTATTGTGTAATACACAGTCCATTTTCAAGTCTCCCTTATAGGAATTTGCTCCTGTGTCAGGCTCTAATCTGGATCATGAGCACTGCGTTTAGATGGCATTTCTCTTTAGTCTCCTTCAATCTGGAGCAGTTCCCCGGCCTGCCTTTGCTTTCATGACCTTGACATTTTTGAAGAGTACAAGCCGTAGAGTACCTCCTCTTAGGTATTTCTAAAGTCACTTCTCACCCAGCCATTGTTTTAAAACCCACAGGGAGGCGTGTGGCTGGTTCCTGAGGGTTAAGAGTCAAAGTTGAGGATGTCTGGGTTGCAAGAGAGTTTGGCTGGAAAAGGAGGTTGCTGGCATCAGAAGCTAAGTGTCCACAAAGTCCTCACTCGGGCCCAGTAATCCCGGGAAAGAGGTGCCCACTTGCAGAGCTGGAGGCTTCCCCTCCTCTCTTTCCCATATATTTCCTTCAATTGCTGAAACAGTGTTTAATCCTATTTCCACTTCCCTTCGCCTTGTTTGTTTGTGTGGCCTCCCTTTATAGCTTGTTCAAAGATCCCTTTTTGGAGGCTTGCAAAGATGTGACCTAACTGAACATTCATTATAGTAGACTTCAATAGTTTAAGTTGGGGGTACTTTAAAAATAATGTAGTCTGGGGCTGGCCCCATGGCTGAGTGGTTAAGTTCGTGCACTCTGCTGCAGGCGGCCCAGTGTTTCGTTGGTTCGAATCCTGGGCACGGACATGGCACTGCTCATCAAACCACGCTGAGGCAGCGTCCCACATGCCACAACTAGAAGGACCCACAACGAAGAATATACAACTATGCACCTGGGGGCTTTGGGGAGAAAAAGGAAAAAATAAAATCTTTAAAAATAAAAAATAAACAAAGGCGACACTGCTCTTATTTAAAAAAATAATAATGATGATGATGTAGTCCAACTCTTACTTCCCAGTTGATGAAATTAGGATGTGTTGATATTTTTAAAGGAATTTTAGATATTCACTTAAATGCTGGAAGAGACAAGATATTTGTTTTAGGCATAGCTCATTTAAAAATATTTGGCTATAGAGCCAGCCCTGATGACCTGGCAGTTAAGTTTGGCACACTCTGCCTCAGTGGCCCGGATTCGGTTCCCAGGTGGGGACCTACACCACTCGTCTGTCAGGAGCCATGCTGTGGCAGCAGCTCACAAAGAAGAATTTGCAACTGTGCACAACCATGTCCTGTGGCTTGGGGGGGGGGGGGGGGGGGCGGTGGCAGGAGGAAAAAGCACGAAGATTGGCAACAGATGTTAGCTTAGGGCAAATCTTCTGCAAAAAAAAAAAAAAGGAAAGATAAATGCTTGCTGTTTAAAATATATGTATTTGGCTGTAGTTTATGTCACATTAAAGAGTGTCTCAGCCTGCGCAGCCAGAAGTCAGTGCGGAGATGCTGCCCAGCTGAGTGTTAGCTCTGGTGCAGATGTGCCAAGCAACATTCTTACAGGGTTAACTATTTTGCACATCTTGCTTATTCTCAAAAACTATTTCAGTTTGGGCAGAAACCACTAGGCTGTCATAAGTTTAGGGGAGGAGATTATAACTTTTCTAAAACAGGACGTGGGAAGGTCACACCCTGAACAGAGGCTGTCCACACAGCATGAAGGGGGACAAGTGGCAATTATTCCTTCATGGCTGCATTACCTGAGCGTCTGACTCACCCAGGGCTTTGCTTTGAGTTAAACTGGCTTAGCAGTCAGCATGAGTTTTTGGTATTTCCATTTGAAAATACTGGTTTTCTTTTCATTGCCCTAGGAATACCGTCTACCAAAAAATCCAGTGAGAGGTAACAGAACAAGGTGATGAATGGAAGCATAACAAATGGTTTGGTCACAGAGATGATTAATACCATATTTTTATTTTGTAGCAGCTGTTGGTTGACTTTGAAATCTCTTTTATACTGTTAAAGTTTGCGAAAGCCATTTGCCAGTTTCTTTCTAGTCAGTCATAGCTGCAAACAACTGCCTGTGACTCTCAGCCAATTACTAAAAATGTCTTTGTGTCCTTGCCTCTTCTCAGCAGCCCATGACCCATCGAGAACCTTCGCCCGTTCCCCAACCTGAAAACAAACCAGAAAGCAAGCCAGGCCCCGTGGGACCAGATCTCCCCCCTGGACACATCCCGATTCCGGTGATCCGTAAGGAGGCAGAGTCCCAGCCGGTCTCCCAGAAGCCCCCACCTCCCTCTGAGAAGGTAGAAGTAAAGGTTCCCTCTGCTCCGGTTCCTTGTCCCCCCAGCCCTGCCCCTTCTGCTGTCCCCTCGTCCCCCAAGAGTGTGGCTGCAGAAGAGAGAGCAGCCCCCAGCCCTGCCCCTGCAGAACCCGCACCCTCAAAACCAGGAGAAGCTGAAGCACCCCCAAAACATCCGGGTGTGTTGAAAGTGGAAGCCATCCTGGAGAAGGTACAGGGGCTGGAGCAGGCTGTGGACAACTTTGAAGGCAAGAAGACAGACAAAAAGTATCTGATGATAGAAGAGTATTTGACCAAAGAGCTGCTGGCCCTGGATTCAGTAGACCCCGAAGGACGAGCTGATGTCCGTCAGGCCAGGAGAGATGGCGTCAGGAAGGTTCAGACCATCCTGGAAAAACTTGAACAGAAAGCAATAGATGTCCCAGGTCAAGTCCAGGTTTATGAACTCCAGCCCAGCTCCCTTGAAACAGATCGGCCGCTGCAGGAAATCATGGAGATGGGGGCCGTGGCAGCAGACAAGAGTAAGAAAAGTGCCGGACATGGAGAAGAGCCCCAAACTGAAACCCAGCAGGCAGAAGCCAAAGCAGCAGCAGCTCCAGACCCCAGCAGCACGGCAGACACAGCTGGTAACCCAGCAGCACCAGCCTCCACGAAATAAGCAGCAGACGCGGGAACTGGGAACTGATGGTTTGCTTTAGGGAATTTTAAGTTGCATGCATTTCAGGGACTTTAAATCAGCTGGTTTTTACTATTCATAGCCGCTTGGTAGGCAGTAACTGGGGTGGAGGCAAAACACACTAATAAAAGGGCTAAAAGGAAAATGATGCTTTTCTTCTGTATTCTTATTCTGTATAAATAAAGAAGTTGCTTGTTTCAAAAGTTTAATAACCCCATCGCTTGTCGTTTTGGGGCCCTCTCTCTGCTCGGGCCCGCGTGGTAGTGAGCCGTCTTCCTAGAGCTCTGGACTGAAGGAGTTTTAGTAGGTCGATGGGGAGTCGACTTCCCATCATGTAAACATGAAACCCATTTTTCAGAAGCGTTGCTGTTTTAATGGGATGATTTTCTTCGTCTCATAGCTAAAATACCTAACTTTAGATAGAAGAAAATGTGTAAGGAGCCATAGGAATATCTGTATGTTGGATGACTTTAATGATAACATTTAAAAAAAGGAAAATAAAGTAATAATATAACTCCAAATGTTTTTTGTGGTTTCTAAAACTTTGAAAAGAGTGGCAGCATTAAGTAAGGATAAATGGCAGGCGCACTTAGAAGCCTGCTCTGGGATTCATAACATCTCTACTGGCCCAGCTCACAAGAGAGTGAGTCTGGGTCGCTTTTCACTCTCAGATTGCAGGTGGAAGCTGGGAGGACTCAGGGCTGTGAGCTCAGGTCAGGGGAATGTGCCCGCCGCACCTCTCCAGACTGCCCCAGCCAAGGTGCCACTTGGGCAGCCTTTCTGCCCACCTGGCCTCAGGCCTCCCAAGGGGCTGAGATGGTTCACAAGTGCAGAGGAAACCAGTTCCCGGTGTTGCCTGAGGCTAGCCAAAGTGTTCTTTGGAGTCTGGGTCACTGGGGGTTGGGAATGTGTTGTATGAGTGTCTTGGGGTCATCTTTATCTGACACTTCTGAGTCACCAAACCAGTCTGGGTTTATCTTCTCAGATTGGGTTCCTAGAAGCCACTGGGGTTAGGGACCAGATGCACTCAGGAGCCACTGGGTGGGAGAAGAATCTTTCTGTGCCGATGGTTTTTAAAAGCTTGGGAGGGACCACAGCCCTGGAATGTGCTAGATTTTGGTTTTTTAACTGCTTGCCAAATAAACCTGAAAAGGAAGAGAAAGGCCTGAGACCTCGGGACGCCTGGGGAGCATGCTGACTTTGAGCCCCCGAGCTGAATTCCTCATGACTGTATTGAGTTTAATATTGGTGCCTGACGGTGCCTCACGAAAATACACGCTGGTGTTCTTGCCACTCTTAGCTTGCTGAGAAAGGTTGAAGTCATTCCGGTGGGAATCCGCCAGCATCATTCCTGGGTGAACTCATTTGGGGAGTACAAGCTGACGGTTAAAGACACACCACCGATTCTAGAAACTCAAACGTGTAAATAGAAGAAAAAAAGCCTACTGGATTATTTTTAGAATGAAATGAAGGTAAAGAATATGACTGTTTTTGTGACTTGGGCAGCTGTTCTCAACGGACCTCAACATTAACCCTTCTTGAGTGGTTGCTGAATTAGGCTGATGTTATTTTTATCACTAAACATCATCAATAGGTAGCGCTTTACTGTGGTTAAGGATACTTTCCATCATCCACGTTAGATGGTACGTGGCTGTCAGGACAGGAGTTCCCTGGCCTGTGTTAGTGGTCCCTGGGCCTTGTTTGGGGGCAGGAGGCTGGGCTCTTACTAATGTAACTGTCTTGGCCCCTGCAGGAGTCAGGGGATAGATATCCAGCGAATCTGCCTAGTGTCGGGGGTTTGGGCTTATGTAATATGTAGTCATTTCAATGCTCTTTAAGAGAACATCACTCTTTAGAACAGAGGCTTGAATCGGAACTCCTGGGTTCAAGTCACAGCTTCACGTGATAGCTCTGGGACAGTGGAGAAGTTATGCAGCCTTTTCCTTCCTGGTTTCTTTGGTTGTAAAATGGGGGAGAAAATCATTAAATGAATTCAGACATGTGAAGCAGTGAAAGTAGTCGCTGGCACATGACTAACATTAGCTGCTATTACTGTCCTCCGTGTAACAGGAGAAAACAGGGAATGACTTGCTCACAGCCACAGAGCCAGCAGCAGAGGCAGGATTTGAATCCAGGTCCACGGGACATCAAAGGCCATGTTAGTCTCACCACAGTGCACCATCTTTAACACTAAGTGGGCTGTGGTGTCCCAGAGGGGAAGGACTGGTTGAGTGCCACAGAAATTTGAAAATAACCTCTCACCTCTTCCTAGGTCAGGGTGTTTGTTTTTTAATATATTGTCTCAAAATCCTGAGATTACTCCTGTCTCCCAGATAAAGCAAATGACTCGGAACTAGTAAGTAGTGGTGCCTACGCTGAAAGTCGCTTGCATCCTCAATGCTGGCAGCCCAGATCCCTGGGGTGGTTTCCAAAGCTGTCTGGAGCACCCCTCCTTCCTCTCACCTCAGCATCCACACTCCCCCTGCCAGGGGCACATGGGCAGCATGGATGGCCAGGAGGCCCTAACACCCCTTTGATTTAAGATCTTTGGATTTCAAGGCTAAATTGATGTTTATTCAGAAATAAACAGCAGCATTAGTTGAGGAGAGTTGAAGGCCAGTTCCCTCTCCCCCTTTCCCTTGAAATCCCCAGATGTGTACGGTTGGGCAAGTTGTTTCCTCTCTGGACCTCTTTCTCCACATCTGTGAAAGGTGGGCACTGACCAAGGCCCCTCTCGATGGTCTGGATGATGCTGGTGCGTCTGCACTTCCTACTGTCGTGTCCTCTGCACTTGCTTTTTCTCCGCTATCCGGTGAGCCATGCAGCGTGGCTCTCCATGACGGGCTGTGCATTCCTGCGACTCCCATGTGAGTGTGGCCGGTCTGCCCGCTGTTCTGTAACATTATACAAATGTGATCATATGCCAAGGGACAGGATCCAGGGTTGCGGTTATTTTGGGATGTGCAAGAGCCTGTGGGAAAATGCTGGAACATGTCTGAGTCACTCAGGCAAATACCTTTCTTTCCGTGTTCCGGCATGTTTTGAACTTTCAGGCGGCACAAAAAAAGCTCCAGCAGGTGCACACGCCCTGTGTTGCGGCAAGGCCTTCCTGAGCAGCCCTCCCTGTTTGTCGGCTGTGCCACCACATCCTCCGAGCTCTGAAGGGCTTGAGTGCCAAGGGCTGAGAGGTGGGGCTGGATTAAACCCTTGCGGGCCCCAAGCATGGAAGTAATTGTGGTGCCTCCCCACATAATGTGATTCAAAATAAAAACAGTAGTAAGCCCCAAAGAAGTGTAAGGATGATCTGAATTTGCCGTGTTACAGTCTGTCTGTTGCTTTTAAAAAAATTATCAGTTAAATTCCTCCAGTTCTGTGTGTAAGTGCTTGGCGTGTCCCTGCTCTCCTGATACTCAAGCTGCCCGTTGCTCAGCGCTGCCCGCTTGAATCACTGGGGACTGGGAAGAGCTGCTTCAGTCCCAGCAGGGCGAGCAGAGTCCAGGACCAGAGGTGGGAGCAGGAGAAGCCAGCAGTGGTGCCATCTGCACTCGGTAGAAGGGAGGGGAGGCAGCCACAGGCCATCTGCATGGGTCCTCCCTAGACTCGGGAGCCCAGGACAATGGGGCAGAGTTCTGGCTGCAACTGGATGTGTGAGGATGTGTGGAGGGGACTGGAAAAAGTATTCCAGGCAGAAGGGGCCTTTTTCTAGAACACTCCTTTTCCTGTCCTTGCCTGCTCTAGCCAGAGCTTTGCTCTGACGTCCTGTGTTGTCACATGGAGCCTGTGCTTTCTCCGGGGCCCTGCTGCTGAGAAGGACGGTCTCCTCTCATCCAGAGAGAAGCCCCACCACCAGCGCCTCGCTTCTCCTCTGCCTCTTCCTCTCCCAGCTGGCTCCTTCCTTCTCCTTAGCCTACAAGGTGCAAACCAAAAAGAAACGTTTCCTGCTTGCTCCTCAGCTTAACCCCTTTGCTATCAAATATCCCAAAAGAGCCAGCTGAAGTCACCCCCACCCCACCTCCCAGGCACACCTCTGCCCTCTGCCTTCCCCCCCACTGCATCTGTGGATGCAGTGCTGCCCTGGGTGGTCGTCTCCCAGCGCTCCTCCCCATCAGTGCCGCCCGGGCTCACCTTCCTCCCCGCCCACTCTTCAACAGGGACGTCTCCCAAGCTCCCTTCCTCAACCCACTGCTCTTCTGGCTTTGTGATGGTTAGTTTTGTGTGTCAACTTGGCTAGGTGACAGTACCCAGCTGTTTAATCCCACGCTATCTAGGTGTTGCTGTGGAGGCATCTGGTAGGTGACCTGTGGTTAACATCTACAATCAGTTGACTTTCAGTAATGGAGACTACCCTCCATAGTGTGGGTGGGCCTCATACAATCAGTTGAAGGCCTTAAGAGCAAAAACAGGTTTCTTGGAAAAGAAGATGTTCTGCCTCAAGACTGTAGCATCAGCCCCTGCCTGAGTTTCCTGCCTGCCAGCCTGACCTACACATTTCCAACTTACTTATCCCCACAATCACGTGAACCAATTCCTTAAAATAAACGTCATAAAAAGATAAATACATACATATACATACACACAAACACACACATACACACTCATATTTATTGTGTTTTTCTGGAGAACACTGACTGATACATACCATTTACACTCTCACTGGGTCACGGGGTTCCACTTCCCAGACCCCAGTCACCTCTGGGTCTATGTTTCTGGTACCCTCTTTCTCCCGATCACCAGACTTATATGCACAGTTGCCTACAGGGCACACAGGAAGGTGAAGAACCAGCTGATATCCTCCAGGAACCTAGAATTCAAATTCCGGGGTTCTTTCGGGGCTCCCTCAGCACAAGCCTTCCCTGGGGTGCCATCTCGCATGCTCACAGAGGCCACCAGGTGGAGGAGTGGCAGAGCCAGCTGTCACAGTGGGGGGGTGGGGCCAAGGGCAGACACGGGCTGCTGCTCAGCCCAGCCAGTGGTTGCCAGATGGGGACGTGGGGCCAGCATTGTAAGAGCTTTCCAATTTTCAAGACAGACCAGAAATCTGTTCATGTGAAATCTCTCCATTTTTAAATATTTTTAAATGTTTTAGAAAACCCGGGCAGGCCCCACAAAACCCATCTGTGGGCCACGTTTGGCTTGAGGACTGCCAATTAGTGAGTTCCAAGTCCTGCTGTGTGGTAAATATTTACTTCTGTCTCGAGTCCCTTCTGTCCTTCCCTCTGCCCCTGTGAGTGTCGAGAGCGAGGACTGTGGCGCTGGGTTCTTTGACCATTCTCGACGGAAATAAAGAGTCTGGGCAAGCTCAGCGAAGGGGTCTATTGGATAATCAGCATGAGGAGTTCAAACCCCAGGAAAGCAGGTCAGCAGAGCACTCCGATGGACCCGTTCCGAGGTGTGTGGGTTCAGATGCACCTTCTATCTCTTTCACAAAACAGTGCATGTGCAGGGAAGAGGAAAACAAAAAAACCTTACAACTTGATTTCATATATGTTAAAAAGAAAAAAGGGGATAGAGCACATCTGGG